CGATCGCGGCTTTTTTTTTTTTTTCCCCGCCGCTTGGGGCGGCAAAAACGCTGGAGCCGGCCCTGATCTCTTCCCACAGCACAACTCCCTGCTTCTGAGTCAGACGCCCACCCATCCCCCTTAGCTCACTGCAGGCTGGAAGATCCCCATCCACTTCAGGCTCCCCTCCCCTGCACATCAGCTCCTGTTGAAGCCCCTCAAGTACATCGCTGAAGCCCTGACACCCAATTCACCATCGCACAGGGGAAAACAGGGGAACTCATCCCCCCCACCCCGACTATCTCCCTTTGGCTGCACGTCCCACGCGTTCTCCCCCAGCCGGTCAGTTCTGCGGGGGCATCTGGCTGTGCGGTTTCAGGCCTATGTCCCTTCTCGTGCCTTGGCTTCTGGAGCCACTGCGTTCACCTTCTTCCCAAGGGGCCTGGGGCAGCTCGCCCAGCTGTCGATGAACCCCGCAGGGGGCATGAGACACACTGGCACTTAGTCGGGCATGCTGAAGGGAGCTGTGCTGCCGGGGGGCGGAATGACCTCCCCACAGCCGCGCCCCCATTTGCCCTAGTGACCAGGCCCCGGTTTCCGGAGTGGCCAGGGCAGGGCATGCTGCTCCCCACAACGCCCCACCCAGACGTGCAAGAGGGCAGCTGGGTCACCAAGGCCCGTGCAGGGGGCCATTTGGTGCCAGTTGTGCTGGTGGTTTGTGTCCGGCTAGGAGCCAGGCTCCGAGCCATCACCTGCCCGCCCACAAGCAGCTGCGCTGTGGCGAGGACTCAGTCTGCTCCCGTGGCGGCACGGTGATGACCGGAGGCTGGACCCTTGACAGTCCCCGGAGCCATCCCGCCCCCCGCGGAACAGCGGCCCCGGCTCATTGCTCCCGCTCGCATCCCCGCGGGCAGGCGAGACTCACGTGTACAAAGGCTGTAGCTGTAAGTGTGACGTCTTCTGTGGGGCCTGGTAGCCGTAGGAATCGAATCCTCCGATGAAGTCAACTGGGGAGAGGAAAGAACAGGAAGGTGGGTGTCAGCAGGGACTCCGGCTTCTACTGCAAGGAGACGCGGCTGGCGCAGGACAGGGCAGTGGATTTCTCTTCCCTCCCACCCCCACTCTAGGTTAACGGCCCAATCCCCCAGCAACAGGACTTCCTGGTGGGTCTGATGTGACCATCTCAGACTGGGGAGAGCCAACAGGATCCTTCCGTGCTCGTGTGAGAGGCTGAGGGGGAGAAGGTGTGTGTCGGAGACAGAGTGTGTCGGACTGCGTGAATGCAGAGTGCATCGGCCCCGGGCCTCTCTCCCAGCGGTGGAAATCCGCAGTGACCCACAGAAATCAGTGCAGCATCCCAGCAGCAGAGCCAGGGTAAGCGAGAGGGGACTCCGGCCCAGCATTCATGCGCCTAGAGCCCACGGCCTGCGAGCTCAGTACGTGTGTCCCAGCCGCCTTCCCATTGCCCGGACGGAAGATAAATGCAGGAAGAGCCGGACTGACTTAAAAAGATCCCCCTGGCTCTTTTCTACTCCACACAATAGACCTCACATTTCACACTGGACAAAGTGGGTAAAATTACGCTATCATTGTCGCCAAAGTGGGCATTTAAGGAGAATTATGGGTGACTTAAGTCTCATTTAAAGTGTGTAATTTAGGGGAATTACAGACACCAATAGATCAGTTTTCATTTCTGCGATGGTTGTGATTTCCATCCGACAGATTAATCCCGCTTCAGACAGCATTAATACAAGGAGCCTGGTTATTGTTTGAGAGTCTATTACCTGGTCTATGAGCCCCGGGGGGCACTCACCAGAATAAACAATCCGTGGGCCTACTCTGGAGCAGAAGGGAAATGCAAACCTGCCAAGTGAGTGGCCTGCCGCCAGTGCAAACCAGGGGGCTTTTGGCACACACAGTGTCCAGGGGCGATGGGAAGTGGGCTGTACTGAGGGCAGACACTGGACCTGGATAAGTGGGCAGACCGCTGGCCTCTGCTCCCCAGAGCAGATCTTGACCTATTCTGCTCCCCCAGCAATGTGGGCATCTATGACCAGGTGGGCAAAATGTTACAGTCAAGATCTTTTCTGCCCAATGTTTGCAAGCACTGTTGCTTTTTTGTGTTGCTAACAGGCTAGCAGTGTTTGCTTGCTTGCTGCCAGACGCCCCCCTCCAGCTCTCTCTCTCTCACACACAGGCACGCTTGGCAGGTGCAAATCCTGCTGGGAAAGGGCCAAGTGAGTTCTGCTGCCTTACCAAGGCAGGTGGCTCCTTACCTCACCTGGATACAGGGGAGGAACTTTCTGGGGCAAGAGGATCTAGTGTGTAGGCTGAGCAGTCATGAGGGAGGAGCCCTTAGGAGCTGCAGAGACTGGGAGGAGGTTTGAGCTGAACTTTGTTACCTTATTGTTGACTGTTAATAAAGCCAAATCCCAGGTGGGGGGTGAGTGTAGATACAGTCTGTAGAATAGGCTGGGAAAGCGTTACACTAACACAAATCTCATTACTCAGTCAAGACCTTTCTCCTGCTACTCACAGTTTGTGCTTATCTAGCCCTTTCCAGGATCTGAAAGTGCTCTACAGATAGTCACTAAGCTAATCCACCACCCTGTGGTGCAGGCTGGTATCACTAGGCCCATGTCACACATGGCACAGCGAGGGGAAGGATTTTCTCCCAGCTCATAAAGCAAGTTATGAGGACAGCCAGGAATCCCGGCTCCTATCCCTCTCCTGTAGCCAGTCTGCCTTACTGAAGACAGGGAAGATGATAGGCTCCTTATTATATTACTGTTTATTATTTATATTGCGGGAGCACCGAGGAGAGCCCCAATGGATCAGGCTCCCATTGTGCTAGGCACCGTGCAAAGACAGAACAAAGACAGTCCCTGCCCCAAAGCACTTACAATTGAAGGCAGGAGACGTGACTTTACCTGGGATCTGGGCACATTTCGGTGGCTTGGTAAATGTTCTCTAGTAATAACAGCACCCCCAGTGGTGCCTGCCAGCACTAGCACTTCCAGGCGGGAGAGCATTCACCCCTGAAGAGTGACAAATGGGCATTCACCCACGAAAGCTTATGCTTCAATACGTCTGTTAGTCTATAAGGTGCCACGGGACTCTTTGTTGCTTTTTACAGATCCAGACTAACACGGCTACCCCTCTGATACTTTCAGGAGGGACTGTGACAATTTGACAAATCCAATGCAGGGCAAATACTTGCCTCTCCCACCCCACAATACTGCCTGCCCTGGGGCAATACTGCCAGCATTATCCCCCTGGGTTTTTTTAAATCACAGGTTATGGTCACTTTTTCTGCTTTTTGCCCTGGACCAGCAGGTTTTCCGTCCACCTGCCCTGGGCTTCTGAGGCAAGAGGGGAAAGGCTCCATTTTCTTCAAAGTTTGCAAAAGCAGATGCAGTGTCTTGTCCCAGGATTGGCTCATCCCCATTCTCTGTCACGTACCCTGGCTTCCTAGCCATCTCTCCATCCCTTTTATAGACTCGCCATACATCCCCCTCATCTTCCAGCAACTTCGCCGACTGTCCATCCATCCGCTCATCCCCTCCTGTGTCACCTTCACTGCTTTCCTCTCCCTCCCTCCATCTGCGGACACTTTCAGTGGCGTTCCTCTCCATCTCCATCACTGCCTCCCCATCCCTCTCTGACTCCAGTACAAAACTGCCCATGAGCTTCCTCCTCCCGACCTCTGACCTCACACCCACCCACTCCCCCAGCTGCTCACTCCAGCCCCAGTGATTCTTCACCGCTGGGGCAAGGGGCAGGAAGGGTCCCTTGAATTTGCTCCATCTCTCTGGAGCTCCCTTCCCACTGCTGTTGCTGAACCGCTGAGTCGCTTCATCCCTCTAAATCTCCCTTGACAAATTCCCTTTCCCCTCTCGCCTGCGATTGTCTCTCTGGGCCGAGCGCCAGGCGATAACGCCTACTGGTGGTGCTACAGCAAAATAAGCCGCACTGTGTTATTCTTACAATCGCTCTCGGCTTTGCCACTTAATTCTTCCCGCTGAAACGCCGGGGAGGAATTATACTCCAAAGTCCTCTATGCACTTGACACCTAAACCTTCCCACGGACATCCTCGGGAGGAATTAAGTGATGAGATGTCCATGAATCCCCTGCAAAGTGGGCAGCCGCTCCGCTACCCAACGTGAACATAAGGCAGCTTTTGGACAGAGAAACTGTATTTAACCAAATTAGGTTCTCTCCCTGCAAAGCGGAGCTTCCGAGACACTCCGAGAGGGCCGGTGCTGCCGATCTCCCGGAAATCAATATATAAATCATTTAAGAAGCATTGAATGCCATGGATTATCCTATTAGTGTTCTGGAAATCAGAGTGAAGTCAAGGGGGCCATCCTCCAGGCCTATTTGTCTTTCTAACTTAATATTCAACGAGCTCTCACTTTTGACAGCATCCATCCATTTCCAAATCTAATAAGATATTCCATTAAAAAAAACGCATCTGAATCTCAGCTACAGTGGCATTAATATTAAAAGTGTATTGAATGCCTGAGTTTGTTTGAATGCCGTGTGCTGTATGGAATGCAAACACAGTTCAAAGACAGCAGAGGCAGATAAGCCCCTTGCCACATCTCAATATACATAAGCAACTTATTACAACAGGCGCTGTCCAATTTCACATGGAGATTTTTATTTTCCACTACATCGGTTTGAAATGCTGGTGGAAGGGAAATGCAGAGCGCGAGCCGGAATGTAGAGCTCTTTCCTCCTCTAACAAAGGGGAGGAATAACGTAGCTGAAGTCGACGTACTTAGACCTACTCACCGCGGTGTCTTCACTGCGGTAAGTCGACTGTTGCCACTCCCCCATTGACTCTGCGTGGAGTTCAGGAGTCGATGGGAGAGCGCTCGGGGGTCGATTTATCGTGTCTAGAGTAGATGCGATAAATCGACCCCCGCTGGATTGATCGCTGCCCACCGATCCGGCGGGTAGTATAGACATACCCTAAGGCAGAGGTGGCCAAAGCCAGGGTCAAATTGCCCTGGGCTGTGGCCCATGGTTGTCCAATACAGTGACTACAGGTCTGAACGTCTGCCAATGCAATGCATTCTGGGACCTGTAGTCTCCTTTGGGCACGGCTTTGTAATTAAAGAGGAGAGCAGCTGCAGCCTGCTTCATTTTTGGAAGCAACACCCAACAAGGTGCCAATGTGCCTCCGTTTGCCCAGGTTTGGATACTTCTCTATTACGCAAATATTAGAGGCGAGCTGAGCCAGTTCTTCCGGCACTGCTGGGTTCTAGCTGACTCCTGTATACGGTATCTCGAAACTTTGGCTTGAAATGCTTCAGCTACAGCACTGTAGCGCTTCAGTGCAGACACTTTATGCCAGTGGGTGGGGTTGCCAACTTTCTAATCGCACAAAACCGAACACCCCTGCCCTGCCCCTTCCCTGAGGCCCCGCCCCTTCTCCGAGACCCCGCCTCTGCTCACTCCACACCCCCGTCACTTGTCCTCCCCCCCCCTCACTCACTCCCTCATTTTCACCAGGCTGGGGCAGTGGGTTGGGATGCGGGAGGGGGTGAGGGCTCCGGCTGGGGGTGCGAGCTCTGGGGTGGGGCCAGGGATGAGGAATTTGGGATGTAGGAGGGGGCTCAGGGCTGGGGCAGGGGGTTGGGATGTGGGAAGGGGTACGGGATCTGGGCTGGGGGTGCGGGCTCTGGGGTGCGGCAAGAAATGAGGGGTTCAGGATGTGTGTGGGGTGTACGGGCTCTGGCTGGGGCTGTGGGCTTTGGGGTGGGGCCGGGGATGAGGAGTTTGGGGTGTAGGAGGGGGTTCTGTGCTGAGGCTGAGGGGTTTGGAGTGCAGGAGGGGTCTCAGGCCTGGGGTAGAGGGTGGAGGTGTAGGCTCCGGGCGGCATTCACCTCCGGTGGCTCCCAGAAGCAGTCAGCATGTCCCTCTGGCTCCTAGGCACGGGGCGGCCAGGTAGCTCCACTCAGTCCCCCCGCCTGCAAGTGCTGCCTCCGCAGTTCCCAT